ACAAAACAAAAAGAGAGAAGAAAAAAAAAAAAAAAAAACGAAATGAAACAAGAAAACCAATGTGTACTATAAATTTATAAGACAATGCCATTTTTCCTATCTATTGCTTGTGCCACTGTGATTACCAGTAGACATTTGACAATTAGATTATAATTTTGCCATTAAATTCTATCACCCAGGTAACAGATACTGTTTTATTTAAGTGATTCAAAATATAAACCTTAACTAAATATAGAAAGATAAACTCAAGTCACACTTCATTCTTCTACAGTTAAAAATTACACAATATATGTTTTTTCCTGGAAAGTTTAAAGAGCTTGAAAGTTGGACAATTTTACATTGTACCTGCTCTAAAAATAAAGAAGAAAAAAAAATTGGTCAATCTTACCTTTAGTTTGAATTCAAGCTGTGGCATGACAGATAATAATAAATGAGGATCTATAGCAAAAAGTTCCTGAATCAGATCAAATACATGTTCTGACAAATCACTTACTGATGATCTTCCCAGCACCAGAACTTGATTGAAAAACTATAGGAGATATTAAAAACAAAAATAAAATATCCAGTTCATTTTAAAACATGGATATATTTTTTTTAAACGTGAATTTTAGTAATTCACACAGGCACAATGGCATATGCCTGTTTTTTTTAAAAACAATTGAAGGTCATACAAATAGGTGTGTGAATTATTAACATATAATAGGATAGTCATCTGAACAGAAGAAATAATTTCCTAATATATCAATATATCAAATCATAAATGTTACAAGGAGAAAAGCAAAAAAAAAATAGTTTGTTGGCTGTATTTCAAATATGGACATTTCTAGGAATCTTTGTTTTCATTAAAAACAATTAGTTTGTGTAGTTCATTACAAAGGATTTCATAGAGAAATTTCCATGTAGCAGAGAAAAATTACAAAGTCTAAATCTTTTATTTTTTTTTCTTTTTTTGAAATAGAGTCTGACTCATCAACCAGGTTGCAGTGCAGTGTGGCACAGTCTTGTCTCACTGCAACCTCCGCCTCCTGGGTTCAAGCCATTCTCCTGCCTCAGCCTTTCTAGCAGCTGGGCTTACAGAAACCTGCCACCAAGCCCAGCTAATTTTTGTATTTTTAGTAGAGACAAGGTTTTACTATGTTGGCTAGGCTGGTCTCGAACTCCTGACATCGGGTGATTGGCCAATCTCAGCATCTGAGCCACTGTGCCCAGCCTCAATCTATGTTTTTTTTTTTTTTTTT